ATCTATCTATCTATCTATCTATCTATCTATCTATCTATCTATCTATCCTTTTTTGTTTGTTTCAAGACAGGGTTTTTTGTGTAGCCCTGGCTGTCCTGGAGCTCCATTTGCTGGGAATTCTCACATGTATCCCTTGCCCGTTCCTCTCCTTGCTGAGCATGGGACACACCGCCTGCCCAGCAATTTTGTCTCAGGTCACAGGGGAAGCTGCTCTTACCCCTAAAGCTTTGGGTTCTCCCGTCAAGAACGTTTCCATTGGTCTAAGGTCAGGTGGCTGGGTGGCCCTAGGTGCCTGCGCCCCAAGCGGTGACTCTTCGAACTGCATGATCCCTGGAGGCTGGCACATGGAGGTGGGCAGAATGGCCGGAGGCGGGCGGAGGCCGCTGGCGTTGCTCGGCGGGATGACGACGAACACACCGTTGCTCGCAGGAGGTGCAGACATCGTGTTCAGAGAGCCTGGGGGATGAAGGCTCAGGAGATAACAAGGCAGTAATGGTGGTTACACATTTGCTTTAAGCCTCTTGTTTCATAAACGGCATATCTCTCTGCTGTTGTTGATTGAGGCCTGGACATAGTCGAGCCCAAATTCCCAACTAGAGCCGGGGACAGAGAAGAGACTCACAGAAGGGAAGTAGGCTCCTGGTGAAAGCTGTGGCTTTTTTTTTTTTTTTTTGGCTTGAATCTTAGGCTTTTTCGACTCTTGACTGATCTTGATTTCTCCTACGTTACATGGAAGGAATTTTATTTTTAGTGCTGGCCATGGAACTCAGACTACATTCCAGGTAAGTCCACTACGGCTGAGCCATATCCCCAGCCCAAGTAGAACCTTGAGAGAAGCATATATTTCAGCATCTCCTTTCCCCAGAGAGGGTGAGTGATGGCTTAGGAACACACAGCCCGGTAAGGCAGGGCTTAGCTGAAGTACAGTTTTATTCATGGAAAGAGAAGGACCAGGAAGGACACGCCTTTCTTCCTTCCTCTAGGCCCACATCTATTGACTGTTGGTACGTAACTACCCTGGGGCAAATTTCTGCCATCCTTGACTGCCCAAGGAGTAGCCGCTTTTGCAGCCAAGATCAACATGGATTACATGAAAACCTTAGATGTGGCTCACCCGGGAAAACCACCCTAGGGAACACAAACCCATTAGTCAGATGTCAGGGGTAGCTTTCCTGGGTGCTGCAGTTACTAATCTAGTGGATTATATGACATTCGACAGTCATCCTCCTTGTTGGCTTCCACATGAGGTGAAGAACCCAGCAGTCCAAGTTACAGCTCTGTGACAGAAGCCAGGATTTGAACCTGGGGCCATGGCCACCGCTTCCTGCCTCAGTTTCCTGACCAAAAAAGCAGTGGGAAGTGCAACAGACCCTACCACATTAGAGGGCTGGGAAAGGCCATGGTGTACACAGTGAAATGTTCTACCATCTTCACCTGAAGTATTTTCTTAAACCTTAAATATTCACCACACAAATGTGTCCTTCCCCACTGCTTTGAGGGCTGCGGGCTGTGCTCATGAGGCACTGCAGCTCGAGATCGCACAGCCTCAGGGGAGCAGGCTGTGCTCGGCACCAGGCTGCTCCACATGTGTGAAAGGGTGGCTTCGGGCTGTGCCCTGCCCTGGGCGACTCCATTTGAAAGGCAGCATTTGGCCATTTTGTGAGTTCAAACAATAAGGCGGGATGACTGCTTGTCTCACTGTGTACCACCGCCCAGCACTACCCACGAGGCACAAACAATTTACTCCTAAGGCTGAGGAGTAGCACCTGGACCCTACAGAGAAGACACCTGGCCCTGCAGTGGTGATGGCTCCGCTGACCTGGCACCTGACCACCCAATGTGTGTGTCATGGGGCCGCAGACTGTCCATTTCCAGCTCAGCCTGGTCTCCAGCGCTTGGTGCAGCCTTCTGAAATTACCGCCAGTCTGTGTCTTTGTCTGAACCAGCCCTGCACTTCTCCTCCGTGGTCCTGTGCCTCTGCAGCACCTCTCGGCCACGAGTCCTGTGCCTTCAGCTCTCCAACTGGGGTCCTTAATATCTTTTTTTGTTTTGTTTTGTTTTGAGACAGGGTTTCTCTGTGTAGCCTTGCCTGTCCTGGACTCACTTTGTAGACCAGACTGAACTCGAACTCACAGAGATCTGCCTGCCTCTGCCTCCCTGAGTGCGGGGATTACAAGCATGCAACACCATGCCTGACTGGTCTTAATATCTTATCCAACCAATGCAGCGACTTCCTGTGTTTCTGGTAGCTGTCTGCTTCTGGTAAGGCCTCTTTAAACTATGCTGTGACCTCTCTGTACTTTTGAGGTCATACACACACACACACACACACACACACACACACACACACACACACACTAAGGTGTAATATGTGTGATTTGAGAGTTAACACCAATACTTAAGATCAGAATAAAAGTGCCCATATTAGTCAACAGCCAGCTATTAAGGGAAAATCATGAGCACTTGGCAAATTGCAGGGAATGAAACTGACTTGGTTTGTACATTTATCGTTAGTCAATAAATTCTGGCACTGTAAAAAACACAAGTGTGAGGGAATCTTATGAAAGAAGTAAGAAATAGTAAGACCTGGAGAGGACAGGAGCTCCACAAGGAGAGCAACAGAACCGAAAAATCTGGGCACAGGGGTCTTTTCTGAGACTGACACTCCAAGGACCATTCATGGAGATAACCTAGAACCCCTGCACAGATGTAGCCCATGGCAGTTCAGTGTCCAAGTGGGTTCTCTAGTAATAGGAACAGGGACTGTCTCTGACAGGAACTGATTGGCCTACTCTTTGATCACCTCCCCCTGAGGGGGGAACAACCTTACCAGGCCACAGAGGAAGACAATGCAGTCACTGCTGATGAGACCTGATAGACTAGGATCAGAAGGAAGGGGAGGAGGACCTCCCCTATCAGTGGACTGGGGGAGGGGCTTGGGTAGAGAAGGAGGAGGGAAGGTGAGATTGGGAGGGGAGGAGCTACAGGGGGAATACAGAGTGAATATTTTGCAATTGATAAATTTTTTTTTTTTTAAAGAAGGAAAGAAACCCCACAAGTGTGCCCCTCTCTGGAATAGGAGGCTCTTGATGCAGCCCATTTCCTGTGGCTCTGCGAGAGACCTCAGTGGATGGGCATCTTTACGCTAGTTGGTGGCACTTGCCACCTGTGTGCTCCTGTGCCATGTGCTCTGTGATGGACCTGATCCGTCCTGGTGAATGTAAAGTGCAAGGGTCCTGTTGGACCTGCCCCTCAGAAGCATAGCTGAGTCCCCACAAAGAGTGCAGTAGGGTTCCAGTGGCTGGAGTACCCTGCCCACCCTGGGAATGGCAGAAGAGGCAAGGGTTAAAAATCTGCAGGCATGAGCATTTTCTGCTCACTGTAGGTGATTAATAAAATGTTTCATGTGTTGGGGAGACAGCTAACCTCATAAAGTGCTTGCTGTATAAGCATGAGGATTTACCTGAGTCAGAGTGGGGTGTGGGGGTCCACATTTGTAAACCTAGTGCCCGACAGACAGACTCAGTTGGATCCTTGGGGCTCTCTGGCCTGCCAGCCCAGCCTACTTGGTGAGCTCCAGAACAATGAGATACCCTCTCTCAAAAAACAAAACAAAACAAAACAAAACAAAACAAAACAAAACAAAGTAGTTGTCTCTGAAAAAGTGACACCCAGAGTGGACTTCTGGCCTCCACACAAATGCACTTGCAAGAACCTGCATACACACATGCGCACACACATGCGCACACACATCCATGTATTCACACACGTGCACAAAAAGAACATGTTTCAGGCTAATAGTGTTACTGAACAACAGTCCCATGTGGGGAGGGTGGCAGAAGTCGCTTGACATCTTCAAGACTTTCTAATGTTTCCTGCAGCCAAAGCTGGGCGGCCAATGTGTGACATCAAGAGCAAGTGTCTAGGAACGGCGCTACTACACCCCCCACGATGGGACTCAGTTGGCGAGACTCTGGTCTCCAGGCCCTCACGTTTGAAATGCCTCTTAGCAGATGTGCCTAGGACAGCACTGGCAAACGTTCCCTGCAGAGACTCGGCTAGTGAAAATTTGGGGCTTCGGTCAAGTAGTTTCCGTTTGAAGTAGGAGCTGCCTCTGCTGCAGTGTAGACCCAACACAGACAATGGATACAGGAGTAGGTGGGACTGTGTTTCAATAAGGTTTATTGACATGAACAGATGGCCTGGATCCAGTTGGTGTGCTGGAGTTTTCCAACTCCTCTCTCAGAATACTGCCTGCACGTTAATAAATGGCCACTGGGATTTACTTCTTGCTTTAGACGTCATTTACATTACTTTCTGTGGTTTGGAGTAAGAAGGAAAAGAAATCGAGCTATTAAATATTTCTATACAATGAAGGTAAAGATGGCTGTGGTGGCTGTGGCTAGGGTTTGGGTCTTGAGTGTCCCCTAAAGGCACATATGCTAGACAAAGGCTTGGTCCTCAGGATGACCTGACTGACAGGTGACAGAACCTTGTATTACTTTTCTTATTTCTGTGACCAAGTACCCCAAAATAAGCATGTTAAAGCAAGGAGGGTTTGTTTTGGCTCAGTGTTCAAGGGACAGTGTCCATCCTGTCGGGGAAGGCCTGGTGGCAGGAGCCGGAGGTGTCTGGTTGCAATAACACCTGTGGTGAGGTGTAGTGCCCAGAATTAACCTGCAAGCCTCACCAGGTAGACTTCCTGGAATGCTGGGAATTGTAGTTCATGGGAAATAACAAAGCCTCATGGGAAAATGCGGTGGCTTATAGGTTTTTACAATACACCTGTAGTGAGGAAGCAGTACATGGGCACAGAGTTTTACAGGACTAGTCTGTAAAACCTCAAGCCCTGGCTCCACTGAGCAACTTTCTCCAGAGAGGTTCCATCTCTCAAAGCTTCCACAGCTTTCCCAAATAGTGTCACCAGCTCGAAGTCAAAACTTCAGGCACATGAGCCAAGGTGAACTCATATGAGACAGAGGCAGGTGGAGGGTCCTCTGGCCCTGACGGTGGGGCCGTGTTCTTGAAAGGGATTTGGGGATCATGGCTTCCTCCTCTTTGCTAACTAGGCACATACTCTGGCTGTCATACCCTACCTCCTGACAGGCTCAGAACACAGGGGCAACCAAGCATGGGCTGAGCCGGAAACAGACCTGTTCTCTCAATATGCGATCCCCCAGGCGTTTGTTTTAGTTACTACAGGTGCTCACCCATCTCAGAGGCTGGCAGCAAAGTTCAGAAGTCAAATTGGACAGGAACGTCCTCAGCAACCTGCAAAGGGCTGTGCTGTGGTTGTTTCAGAGCAGTGTTGTCAGCACTCTGAGGTCCTCACTGACCTTTGAGACTTTCTTAACTTTTCACAAGCCACCAGCTCCATGCTGCCCCGATTAGGAGATTGACAGCGTATGCTAACCTTATCTTAGGTGAGACAGACATGATACTTCTGACACACTGCTCCTTGCCTTCACAGTGACAACACTTGCAGCAGAGAAGGTGACTCAGATGGTGAATTTGAGGGCAGGTTGAAGTCCAAGTCTGCCTGTGTCTCAGCCTGCACCTGTAACTGCTGCCTCCACGGACAGTCTCTGTCATTTGCCCCACTGTTCCAGCTATTGTATTCTGGGTGCCTCCATGTTTGGAGTGGTCCTGTGACATATAATATTTTGGTTAAAATCACATTAGTGACAGTAAATTCACATCTTCTGAGGTGTTAGTGACCAGTCCAGGGCACTGTGGAGGGCCTTTCCCCTTTGCTACAGTAACCAGCCATCTTTCAGTGGCTCCCTGGAATGGGACATCTGCCAAATGCCCTCTGCCCTAGACTCCTGTCTCCCTTTAGATTCTCCCTAATTTCAGGAAAGGCCAGGTGGCCTTCATCAGGCGTTGAAAGAAAGAAAAGATATCATTGCTGTCTTGCCTTGCCCTTGGGCATCCTGTTCTCCCTCCTGGGAACAGGCCTTTTACAGGAAGGGCCTGTTCCTTTAAAGAAGGACTGAACGTGTACTTCAAAGAAAGATTGAATACTTACTTAATCCTCTTAATCCTCCCCTAAACCCCTGGTTGTGGCTTTTGGCTTTAAAAGAAACTTACCCACTCCCTTCTGCAGCTCCAGAGCCTGTTATGATCCTAGTTGGAAGTCACTCCCCTCAGGTGGATAAAGTCCTTTCACTTTTCCTTTTTACTTGCCAGCCCCTAAGACCCAACAAGGCTTGGGTTCCCAAGTGAGTAAAGTCTTCAGGGCTGTGAAGCATGAGAAAGACTACTCTCTGCTGCCTTCCGACGATGGGAGATAGCTGAGTTAGTAAAGTGCTCGCAAGCCACAAGAAGCCAAGTTCCATGCCAAGACCCCACACAAAAATACTGGGCATGGTGGAGTTCTTAGAATCCCTGTGTGGGGGAGCTAGATCCAGGCAGATCCCTAGGGCTTGATGGCCGGCCAGTTTGGCTAAATTGGCTAGCTGCAGGCCAGCAAGACACCCTGTCTGGGAAAACAAGATGGAGGGCACCTGAAGAATGACACCCCAGGTGTCATCTCTGGCCTCTACATGTATGTGTACCCACATAAACATTGCATATATACATACACATGCACACACGGACACTAAGCTATGTGATCCTGAAGCACACAATAGCTTTTCCTGACCATGAACATCCTCCGGAAACAGAGAAACATGTGAAGCAGCAAGACACAAGAGTCTATGTCCGCAAGGAGCCTAGAGTATAGGAAGGAGCAAGAGCTATGTACAGTTCTGACTAATAGACCAGAGAGGGTGAGAGTTTCTCTCACAGTCACACAGCACCTCAGTGGCTGAACTGTGAGAGATCCCAGAACCCCCACTTCCTGTAAGGAGGATACTGACTTTAGATAACCCATCCACTCCTGGACCAGGATCCTTGTCTTGTCAGGGGACCCATTGCTACACTTCCTCAGAACAACAGTTCACATAAGCTTGGTTTTCACATTAAAAACAAAAGGCGGCTGAATGAGCCCACCAAGGCAGTGCTTCCCCAAGTAAGGCTGTTTAAAAAGTTACTAAGGAGAGTTCAACGTTTCGGGAGTCAGAAAAGGGGGAATTTTAGGTTAAAGGGACACTCTCTCACAGCTGTCATTCCAGCAGGGACAGGTGAAGATCATGTCTGGAGGCCATGATGGTTTTATTTGTATTGGGGACATCTTCTGAGGTCAGAAGGTCTCTCTGGGCTCCCACCAGGCTCAAGGAGCCCAACAGGGAGCACGTGCGTCATTAACAGCATCTCTCCTAGGAGGGTGGTGAGAAATACGATCACACGCAGACCCCCGTGATCCTCAGGAGAAGAGAAAACACCTACAGAAATAGGCTTTGCACCCTTGGCAGGGCAAGTGGCAAACCCGAGCAGGAATACATCACGGTCCCAAGATTCACACTCCACCCGCCTCCTCCCCCGACCCCTGGCTCCTCCGGAAGCCAGTGACTAATCAATCTATCTGTGAGATTCCAGGTGACTCCATCTCCATGCTCCTCTCTCTCTCACCAACGGTCAGGCTGGGTATCCCCACCACTCATGCACACCTAGGAAGGGAAGGAAAAAGACGCTGCTCCTGCCTTAAGGGAGCAGCTGCCCGGAAGCTCAGGCCATCCAGGACAGCTGTGCTGATTATCAACTGCTGAATGAGACACGGCATTTACTTTATGCACAGCCCTTTACAGTTTATATACAAAGAGCTCTCCTACAGACTCTAGGGCAGCCCTGGGGAGGAGGTGTTATGTGGGTCATTTTGCAGGGGTCGGGTGGAGAGTGGGGGGGGTAGGGAGTGGAGGAAAGTGGGGCGGGTCATGGGCCTTCAAGGCTGATGTGTTGGTTGGAGATGTTAAGGCCGAACTGTCAGCTGAGACCAGATTCTGCAGTGAGGGATGTCACCAAAGGTGTCAGGGGACTTGTGAAAGGCAGGTGGCTGAGAAGCTGTGGGTGGTTTTTATACCCTCCCTCCCACAGTTGCAAGTGAGGTTGAAAGTAGATTTGACATCATTGTACAGAAAGGAGGGGGACATGTCTCCAGTTATCTTTTGCCATGGCTGAGAGTCTGTCTGGCTTTGGGAGCTTGCTGAAAGAAAGTCACATGTTGGCTCTTTTCATTGGACCTGCAGATTTATAAGTTGGGCAAGGGCTTTTTTTTTTTTTTTTCCCAGAGAAGCACACAGGAGAGAGATCTCTAAAATGGGGTCTGTCTCTGTAGAGACCCCTTTAGAAAAGTGTCTACCTCAGGGAGGGTGGCAGTGAGTCACAAAGCACCCAGCAGGTGTGTGGCCCCTGTCGCCTTTCTCCTCCTTGACCTCTGCCCAGCCTTGGAGATGCCAGTGTTGGCCAGCCACTGTATATTAGGGGGCTGGGGGGCAAGAAAGGGCATGGGGAAAGACGAAAGCCAGCAGACACCCTTCTTACCTGCCGTACCTGGGCTGAGGTGCAGCCCCAGGTCAAGCCAGGACACAGCACAAGACCAGGCAGCCCGACCGCAAGTTACGGAATTGCTGCTGTTTGGCCCGAGGGTAACCGGAAACAGCTACAGGACTGCTTAAGTGTCACCCTGCTCAGTGATCGCTGTGAACTTTTGAAAACTGATGTGAACAGTTTCACTCAGAAACGGATAGATACCTCTTCACATCACAGGATATAAAAACTTGATTTACATCTCATAAAAAGAGAACCAGTATCCAAATTCTAAAGAACTTTACAGAGCACATCCCACCTTAGGCTTCACTGAAACCGCAAGACGAAGCAAAGCCCACCCTCTCCACACCCAACACTCCATAAAGAGAATAATGCCCAGCTACCAACAACCCCCGGCCCCACGCCTGGAATGGAGGAGGGCTTCAGCTGTTAGCAGCTTCAGCTGCTAGCCGCGCCTGCCCCAGCATGCTAGCTGCAGCACCTTTGGGCAGCTGGCATTCGTCTAGGAGCATCTCCAGAGAACCTCTTCTTCCACCCAGGTCCCAAAGGAGCTTTGCTTATTTCCCCGTCGGAGCTGCTTTTTGGGGAGGTGTTGGCAGCTGGAAGGGGAGTGACTCGAAGGGCTAGGGATCCTGGGATGAAATGCGTGGTGACACGTGCGGGACCGGGCAGCTTTGCTTGGTAATTAAGTCACGGACCCTGCGCTCAGCCTGGTAAGAATCCACATTACCATCTGGGGAGATGAAGTAGCTGAGTGAATCGGGGCAAATTGTTTAATCTCCCTGGGCCTTCGTTCCTCCGTATATCGCATTGAGTGGCTGTGTAGTAGTGGGGTACGGTGTTTCAGGCTTCTAAGGATTTCCTATGCATACATCCTGGATCTGCAGCCACTTCTCAGACTTGCATCTACGGAAGTCTGGCTCTGCCCAGGCCCGCCCCACCAACCCAGGAGCGATGCCACGGGGAAGCAGATCTCCCAGTCATTTTCTCCTACTCCCAGGTTGGACCTCACATACCCCATGGCCTGATCCTCACCTCCCCCCCTCCGAGGGCCACTGAAGGTGGGCAGCAGGGATATCCAATTCCTTCCCCGACTAGTTCTTCCCATCTGCAAACAGTACTTTTACAGAAGACTTTTCTAGCAGGGACCCTTGCCATGTCCTTCTCCTCCTGTCAGAGAGGGGACCAGTAGGACACCTCTGCATGGGTTGGAATCACCTGCCTAGATCGGGCTTCTAACCTGAGTGGCTTCTGGAGGAAGTCTCTACTTCTTGGGGGAGTGATTGTCTCTCTGGGGTCCCTCCCTGTCAGGTGCCTGAGTAACCTCTGGTCCTGGTTTTGAGGAGAGAAGACAGTCACCTCCTCTTTATCCCCCTTCGCTGTGGAGTGGGTCTCCTGTTGCCCTGAGCTGAAGTGGGCAGCCCCCTCCGTCTCAGTCTTGGTGCCAGGTGGGCTCCCTTCAATGAGCCCTTTCTCCCTCCCTCCCTGGGAGCCTCCACAAACCCAGGCCTCTTCTCCTGTTGTGTTCCCCTGGTGGCCTTTCTAGAAGGGCAATAGGGGTACTCACCGGCTTGCCACGGCTGCTGTGCGGGCTGCTGACTCCCCTCTGCCTCTGCGCTCCCGCATTCACACATTATCCTGTGAAAAGCTTGCTATCCGTGTGGGGCTTGGAAATCACTGCTTGGGAGCTGCGTCTCTGGTAGGTTCTCAGTCCTTCCTGGCCCGGAGGCCTCCGCCTGGTTCCCAGAGGTGGGGGCCAGAGGAAGCCACTTGTGTGATCACTGGCCTCCAAAGGGCCTAAGAGTACCCCATTCCCTTGCTCTAGTCTCTGGAAGGGAACACCAAGGCCCAGAGAGGAAAAGTGAATTTCTGGGTACTACCTACTAGTGTCAGAGCTAGGATGGAGACTCCCATATGGCTTTCACCCTCTCCTTCATCCCACTGAGAGGCCTGAACAGGCTACCTGTGTTCTTCCCACCAAGGTTTGACAAGGGGCCTGAGAGGCTCTCAGCTCTCTGATGACAAGTGGCAGATGGTCTAATCATGAACATTTGTGCGAACATGTGTTAGTATGTATGTATTCTGTATGCACAGTACCCTTCAAGTACTTGACAAATTAGCCTGTGAGTTTCTGGGTTCAGGCTCTCACAGAATAGCTTCTGAGGGAACCAGGAAGGCCACAATGATTAGGTAGGACCTGTAGGTTTAGACACCCTGGGGGCAGGCCTGGGCCAGCTCTCAGCCAACTGTGGGATACAGATCAGGGTGCCAGGTTGAATGTAAACATGGCCTTGGTTCCCAGGTATCTGTATGTCCGCACTTGCAGAGAGGGTCGGAGTTGATTTCCTCAAAACGGCTGCCCCGTGACTTCCTATGCTGACAGGAAGTGATCTAACCCGAGATACAGCAGATTTCCCCTGCTGTACTCTCTGTGAGCTCTGCATTTATCACAGAACACACGTGGCTTCCCCGCTGGAGGATGAAACACATGACATAATCCAATTGTGCTGGGTGAGCCCCCCCCCCCACAGCCATGGTCAGCAAGGCCTCGGAACCAGCTTTCCACTGAGCACAACCTCATGTGCCAGCTCTGCCAACCCCAGGTCAGACCGGACCTGCCCAGGCAACCTCGGACGGGGAACAAAATGAAGGCTTTCTGTGATATACCAGAGGGTCTGACTCTTTGTTACAGGCGTAGCTTTGAGACACATGCTAAGATGTCTAGACTATGCTCCTGAGTAAGGAGGTGGACCACACATGGAGAGTGATGTAGAAACAGAGATAGTTCTTAAGGAAGAGAACGGCTCTTGAGAAGTAGAATGGACGTCTGGAGCAGTTCCACTATCGGGGCCCTTTGTAGGTCACTTGCTTAGAACCTGCCTTTCCCCACCTCTGTCATCTGTATGTTGTGCTACTTTTTTCCCTTACCTATAGCCCTTGTAGGGAGGTTTCCAGTCTCTGGCCACTGGCTTCTCATGTTATTCTTGATGCCTCTTTCTCCTTGTCCAAATCTCCTGCGATAATCTTTGGGGTAGCCTGATCATCTCCTGTACCAGCAGCCATAGGCATTGTTTGGGGCTTAGGAAACAGATACCTCAGAGCACAGCTTATTGGTGTGAACTAGGGTCTCTGACCTTAAGCTCTCCTGTCTTGCTCCCTCACCCTCCTCCTCCTCCTCTTTACGGCTTGCTCCTCGGGGCGCTCTTGTAGTTCATTACCTAAAGAGATTCTCCAGCAGGCCGTGTTGTTGCGGTGAGTATGCCTCCATCTCATCGAGCAGGGGGTCGTTAGTGTCACACGAGACCGAAGGCCCACATCACAGGCTGCCGCACACCACTGCCTGCAACTTTTACTACCACAGAGAAAGTATCCTTGTCCCTGCCTTGAGACCTATGTCCACCCTGCCCTGCTCCCTTCAGCCTCCTCAGCCCATTGCTATCCCTTCCCTCCAAGCCTCAGCTGCTTCATTCTTTCTGCAGTACCGGACACTGTGTAAGCCGTGCCCATCTGGCTCTTCTCCCCAGGAATTTGTGAGATTCTGTGGCAGGCGCCTAATACATTTAAATCTCTTTTCTCCTGTCAGTCTGTCTACTGTCTGCTGACTGAAAGGATTCTGGAAGCTTCAGAGGGGAAAGAAGACACGTGCTTCCTTTTCCCCTACAGGACACTGACATTTCAGAAGAGGAAGGGAGTCAGGTACAGTGGTACAACTCTGTCACACCAGCACTTAGGAGATGGAGGCAGGAGGATCGGGAGTTTAAGGTCATTCATCCTCAGCTACAAAGGAGTTTGAGGCCAGCCTGGGAAACATGAGGGCTTGACTTATCTCTCTCTGAAACTACCTCTACCTCAACCAGACAAAAAAAGAGGAGAAGCCGGAGGCTTGGGAGGGTCTAGTCTGAAAGCCCAGCACCCAGCCCCACCTCCCCCTGCAGCTTCACGTAGCCCACGAACCCAGTATGGCCAGCTCTCCCTCCTGCTGTATGATTCTTGCCCTTGCTTTTTTTTTCTTTGGAGATGGCCAAATCTGTCAATTCTGTCTGTATTTTGGGTTAATTAATGCTTTGCTGGGAAATACTACATAGCAGACTGGCTACTACAACATGCGGGAGCTCTCATCCTGCTTGTCCTCATCCGTGAGAGGTCCCTTCCTACCTGCCCTGTGCTTGCCCTGCGCTGCTCCCCTGACTCTGTCCACCTCATGATCTAAAAGCTAAAGTACTAATGCCCGGCCCACACTTTAGACTTGCTCGTTTATTTCCACTGCCAGTTGTACCCTCACGGCTAGCACCAGGCACATAGTAGGTGTGCAGTTGTTGGGTACAGGAGTGGATAAATGCTTCTACTCTCCTGTCCAGCACCCAGCACATCCCAGGTAGATGTGGCCACACCTTCTTTCCTTCCTTGCATGTTCTGCATGAGAACTTTGAGCAGAGGAGCAGCTTGGGACACAGGTCCTGAGGAGAGGGGACAAAGAGGAAGGGAGGAAGTCTTGAGTCAAGTGCTTTGGTTCTGGACCTCTCGATTTATCTTAGTGGTGGAACGGTAATGGGTTTTCCCTCAGAAGATTCCTATGCCACACGCTCTGAGGAACCAGCCCAAAACACAGGGACAACTCTTCAGCTAGTGTGCATTACCTTATCCTGCCCTGGGGCAGACACTTTAGGGAGAAAGGACAACAGGACAAGCTATTGTGTGGTAGAAGGAGCTAGTGTGTGGCTCTGGTGTTGGGAAAGTCTATTTTCTAGCTACTTAGTGACTGTAGTTGAAAGAAGGGATCTTGTCCCAGTTAGCATTAACTGCAAAGACGACTCAGACAAGGATTTAAGCCTTTATAGCCAGCTAGTGACTACACCGAGTGTTCAGAACCTGAGAGCACCCCTGAGCCTTTCTCAGGGTGAGGTTTTAAGCACAAACACTATGTTGATACTCCTGGGTTAACAAGAACAGTTAGCCAGAAGTAGAACTACAGAAGCCAAAACAAACAACAAAAAAAAGCAAGATTAGTAGATCAGTACATTTAGGGCCTTTCCTAGAACTCTAGACTTTGGTGGGTTAGGTTTTCATTCAAGTTTTGCCAGGTGTTGCTTGTGTGCAGGGATTCAAGGCCTGAATTGTACTTTCATCATGGTATAAGTGGTTCTAAGGTCTGGGGGCCTGTTATAGACTGTCAACTTAAATAGCTTAGAATTACCTGAAAATAGAGTCTCACTTGAGAACTGCCTTCATCATCAGGTTAGAATGTGGACATGTTCCTGAGAGACTGACTGCCTTAATTGATACAGGAGGGTCCAGTTCGTATGGGCAGTGACATTTCCTAAGAAGGAAGTTCCAAGCAGTGGTGATGCACACCTTTAATCCCAGTAGAGGCAGGCGGATCTCTGGGAGTTCAAAGCCAGCCTGGGCTACATAGAGAAAATCTGTCTTGACACCCCTCCCTTCACCCAATAAAGAAAGAAAGCTAAGCATGTATGAGCTATGAAATAAGCCAGGAAAGAGCATTATTGCATGGCTCCCGTCTCCAGATTCCTGCCCTGATTTCTCTCAGGGATGGACCATGACCCAGAAGCTGTAAGCTGAAACAAACCCATTCCTCTCCCAAGTTGTCTTGACCGTGGTGTTTATCACAGTAACAGAATGAGACAGCATCTTCACAGTTTCCTCTTGTGAGAGATGGACAGAGCAGATCTGTCTATACTGTTGGGCATTCAGGCTCTGAACAGTGAAGCAAAGGCATGGTTCACATGCTGGCTGCCCACTGTCTTTTATGCCCTAGCACTGTGACTATGGCATTAGAATGCATTTGAATAGACTGAAGAGCTGAAGAGCCCCATTCCTTTTTTTGTTTGTTTGTTTTTGAGACAGGATTTCTCTGTGTAACAGCCTTTGCTGTCCTGGAACCTGATTTGTGGACCAGGCTGGCCTCAGACTCACAGAAGTACTCTTGCCTCTGCCTCCTGAGTGCTGGGATTAAAGGTGTGCCCCACCACACCCAGCTAAGAACCCCATTCTTTTTTTAAACCATTTTAAATTAATTATTATTATTTATTACAATTTATTCACTTTGTATCCCAGCTGTAGCCCCCTCCTTCCTCCCCTCCCAATCTTCCCCTTCCTTCCTCCCTCCCTCATTTCTTCCTATGCCCCTCTCCAAGTCTATGGCAATTGCAGGGCCCTGTGGTTACTGGTTATACAATGTGTAATCAGAATTGTGACTGTGGGAAGCTTCAGGCTAGTGGATGCCGCAATATGAAAGTTTTTGACCCTTTACTCTTTTTTTTTTTTTTCCTCTTCCCACCCTTCCTTATTGCAGGTGAAAAAGAGATGTTTGAGGGGCTGAAGAGGTAGCTGGCAAAGTGCTTGCTTTGCAAACACAAAGACCTGAGTTTGATCCCTAGAGTCCATGTTAAAAAAAGGTCAGAGCTGGACAGTAGTGGCACACACCTTTGATTCCAGAACTTGGGAGGCAGAAGCAGGAGGATCTCTGTAAGTTCTATAAGCCTGGTCTACAGAGTGAGTTCCAGGACAGCCAAGGCTACACAGAAAAATTTTGTCTTGAAAAATTAAAAAAATAAATAAATAAAGTCAGACATGATGGCACATGCTTGTTATTCTGGGCCTAGAGCCTGTGACAGTCAGATTCCTAGGTCTCACTGGATTGAGAGCCTAGTTTATTCGATAATTTCTATGCCAATAAAAAGTCTCTTTCTCAAGGGGGAAGAGGTGGTTGAAGAGAATGCCCAAGAAACAGCACCTGAATTTGTCCACTGTATGCATGGACTCACATGTACTAACACACTCACGCATAGCCTTGCACCAATATGTACCTGCATGCACATTAAACACATAGGCACACACACATGAAATTAAAAAAAGTATGCTTGAACACGGGCACTTAATGAAGCAGTATCAGGAGCAAAGGTCACACTAGGGAAAGCAAGGCTCTTTTGTCCTTGTCGAGTCTTCAGTTGGAGGCAGCCTTGGGGATGGGAAGGAGCCATGGTCATGCTGCTGAATGGTACCAGGAGCACGGGTCCTATCACTTGTCCACGCTGCCCTTCGTAAGGACTCTGGGAAAGCAGAAGAGGGGCGTGGGGAACGATGAGGGAGAACTATGGCTGAAAGGTCCTCTCAGTCCATTGAACTCTTTTGTGCAGTTGAAGCAGGTGCCCCTTTATGAAGTAGCAGAGGGTTTGCAGTTGGCATCTCCACCACTGCCCAACCCAGACAGCTCGCTCTCTTGGGCTTGCTTCTTACAGTTCCACCAGGCAGGCTGGTGTCCATTTGCTGTCTCAGTCACACCCAGGAGTTCTGGGTACACACACCAGGGTTGGGCAGTTTATACTTTTTGGGCTGCTGCTCACATTCCATGAGGGCTGGGAGTTACTTTCAGGATTAGAGTTGGGAGGTTCCATTAGAGGCTGAACAGACAGTTGGCCAGATTGACTCCTTAACACTAAGCATCCAACTGGAGAGACACAACAAAAAACACAACCCTGCATGCAGTTTGTTAAAGTTAAAAGACACCTAGAGTCAGAGGGAAAACATTTATGAATTTAAAAAAGCACATTAGTAACAAACCAAAGGAAAGTATGCGGGAAAATGGATGTTTATCTTGGCCTAGCAGTAATGCCAGGGTCAAGGTCACAGGTGTTTCCTGGAGAAGCAAAGCTAAAGCAGGGCTTCCTTGTCCTTGAGATGGGCATTCTGCTATTCCAGCTATTTCTGGGGAGGATCAGTGACAGTTTGGTATGTGTGTTCAGGGGGAACATGACTGGGGAGAGTGGGCTGGACTGGGATGTTGGTGGCATTGTCTGGGCTGGTGGTGATGACAAGTCCAGCGGTCGTGTTGACTGTGTTGCCACCGAACATAGAAGAGATCGTTGTCATGTTCTGAAAGACAAAGGACAGGAAGCCATCAGTGTCATCTGTAGTGTAGAAAGGCTATACCATCTTTCCCTTCCTCTTTCCAGCATCTCTCATGGATGCTGGCCCTTGGCCACATGACTTTCCTTGGCTAAGAAGACAATTATCGCAATGTCATAAGCAGAGACCCGTGAAGCTGTTGCCTCCTGGGACTTGATCTTTCTTGGTGCTCGTCGGAACAGAAAGCAGTCTGGATTGACCTGATGACTAGTGAGATAAGTAGCCCAGTTTTCGTGTTCACAGCCAATTTGCCAATGGCCACACACATGTATGCATCTATCCAAGACCACCCAACCGTTGGGTATCACAGCAACCAGCTGTGGACTTGGCAATCCCAGCAGATTAGAAATGTCTGCAAGTCCCCTCTGGGTCATGTGTTAAATGCCTATTGTGTGAGCCATTACATCGTGGGCTTGTGTTTCTAAGGTTATCAGTCGATACATGATATTCAAAGTAAGTATTAGGATTAACAACAAACTAGGGATAGATCTGCACAGAAAAGGCGGTGTCTATCCAACCCTATGCTAAGTAAGACTGTGTGTATGTATTAAAAAAAAAAAAAGTGTGTGTGCACAAGTGCATGGGGGTATGTGTGAATGTGTGTGTGCATGGGTACGGAGGTTGACTTGGTGTGTCTTTCCCCACTGCTCTCCACTTTATTTATTAATTAAATATTTTATTTATTTATTATTTATACAGGATTCTGTCTGCGTGTGTGTCTAAGCACCAGAAGAGGGGACTAGATCTCACTATAGATGGTTGTGAGCCACCATGTGGTTGCTGGGATTTGAACTCGGGACCTTTGGAAGAACAGCCAGTGCTGTTCGAAGCATCTCTTCATTCCTCCACTGTAGTTTTTTGAGGCAGGGTCTCTCACTGAACCTGGAGCCTACTGATTGGCTAGATTGGCTGGCCAGTGAGCTCCATCTGCCTGTCTTTGCCCTACCTGCCCTGCCCCCCACCAGGGCTGGGGTTACAGATGCATGCTGCAGAATCTGTCCTTTGATGTGAGTGCTGGGGATCTGAACTCAGGTCCTCCTGCTTGTACAGCCAGCATTTTACTGACTAACTGTAAAATCTTTAGTCTGTAGTCTTTAACGAGGCCCCTTGGCTACACTGAAAAGCTTCTAAACAATCTTATGGCCTTGGTCCCAGAGAGGCCTTATCTCAAAATAGGTGCTGGTAGATTTAGAGAGAGGTTCATCTAGGACACAACTTTATGAGGCTTTTGTCAAATTGCAAAATCCCTAATCTGGTATATAAATGTCTCCAGAGATTCTGAGGGACTTGTCTTTGCCAAAGAACCACCAAATGTGTACTGAGATGGCTCAAAGTACAAAATTGCTTAGAGGATTGCCCATCTTCCCTAAGATGGAAAAGGTGGGCTCTCAGGAGAAAGTGATTGCTGATGGTAGAACCAAGAGATTAGAGGGCAAGACCCAAGAGAACAGCGGATGGGGGAGGACCATCCAGGAAGCAGTAGGAAGCACTGGCAGGCCCTTCCTCAGAGCTGAACTTATTCCTAACCAAAGAATGTTCTTTGCCACCGTGTGGGCAATATTGATCCTTAGGATAAATTAAAAAAAATTATTTTGTGGAAATGGGTGTTTTGCCTGCATGTATGATTGTACACCACATGCCTGCCCAGTGCCTGCAGAGGGCAGAAAAAGGCATCAGATCCCATGGGACTGAAGGTGTAGACAGTTGCATGGTGAGCTGCCTGCACCATGTGGGTGCTGGGAATTGAACCTGGGTCCTGCAGAAGAGCAGCCAATGCTCTTAATCACTGAACTGACCGTACCTTCAGACTGCTCCATAGGATTTTAGAATTTTATGGAGCAGTTACCGTCCTGAGTCAGAAAATGTCTTAGTCTCTTTTTGTTGAATGGGAGAGTACATTTGAGTTATCTGGTTCTTGTCTCACTAGACTCTGTTGGGTATATTAATATAATTTGTTTTTATTATTAATGTCATTTTTTGAGACAGAGTCTCATGTAGTCCAGGTTATATATTGACATATGTAGCAACATATGTCAACATATGTAGCAACATATGTCAATATATCTGATACACTCTCTCAGCAAGCAGCCAAGGATGACCTTGAATATCTGATTCTCCTGCCTCTACCTCCCAAGTTCTGGGATTATAGGCATGTACCACCATGCCTGGTTTATACAGTGCTAGAGATCAAAATCATGATTTCCTGTATGTCAACCAAGCTCTCAGCCTACATTCTCAGCCCCAAAGTTGTTTTTAGTTTCTAGGTTGGTGTGTCAAGAAGATTCATATTCTAAACTGGACCCTGGACTTCCAGCAAGGTGACAGAATTGGATAGAATACTTGGAATCCTGGACTGGGGACAAACATGGTTTGTTTCTTTTAGAAGTGTTAGTAATTTGATTGGAAAACAACAACCACAACCACAACCACAACCACAACCACAAATCCTATTCATGCCTCTTAGGTGACTTCGTAGCTTTTCTCCCCAGAGCCGGAGCTGTTCCTCTGCTCACAGGTTCTCAGTTTGGCCATGTGGGTGACTCTGGCCGTAGGAAACCAACATTCAGGGAAAAAGCAAGGACTAGAGTGCTTGTCTGTGAGGGAATATATGTCTTGCTGAGAATCCAGCTGCCTTGTGAAGAAACTCAGGCAGGCATTCTGGAGGACGAGATAACACAGGAGCAGAAATGAACTCGCCCACCGAGACCACTGGGTACCAGCTTTCCTGAAGCCCATCTGGCTGAAGACTAAAGAGCAAGGCCGTCTGAGAACAATGAAGGAGGAAGGCATGTATCACAGTACAAAGGGATGTTGCCCAGAACCAAGAACCAAGTAAATCAGTGGTTCTCAACCTTCCTAATACTGCAACACTTTGATACAGTTCCCCATGTCGGGGTGGCTCCTAACCATGAAATTATTTTCACTGTTACTTCTTAAGTGTGATTTTGCTACAGTAATATAAATACCTGACATGCAGGATATCTGACATGTGACCCCCCCCAGGCTGAGAACCATTGAAGTAAATGCTTTCTGTTATAAATGCTTTCTGCACTTGGTTTAGGGCTAGTGTATTATGTAGCAACATATATCGATAGGTCTGACATACTCCCTCAGTCCCCACTTCTCTGGAACTCCAGTCACCTTTTGCTAACTCTTCCCAGAGCAGGCTCTGATTCCTGGAATAAAGCCCAATACTTACCTCAAAATGGGTCCAGCAGACAGCCTGACACCCGAAATGTGAGACCAGACAGGTGAGGATGAATTCCAGGAGGACAAAGGGTAGGAGACCGCCAGAGATTGCCTTCATAGAGATTCTCACTTCTCCCTAGAGGCGGACAGGAAATGAGGGCATTTCAGTCTTCAGGGTTGACTGGATGACAGTCTACATTAGCTCTCCAAAAGCAAACGCCATATCCCTCATCTGGAAGACCGACACAGCGTCTGTGTGTGGTGTCTTGGTGTAGATGCTACTGGTAGCTTTATGCACCTTTGCCATATCCTCTCAGTACACCCCGGCTTCCACCTGACAGGAACTGCTTTTCTTTATTATGGACTTTTATGGCCTCTGGAGCCCACTTTTCTGTGTGAGACCCCAATTAAAATGAAAGCCCCACTTGAGACCCCACTAGAATCTAACATAGAATCTGGACTTACTCCATGACAGGCCTCAATTCACTGTCAAAAGGAGCAGGCCTAAGTTTCCATTTCTCTGAAGTGAGTTAACATTTACTGGAAAAAACACAGAAAATGTGCAGCCAGTCAGAGGCCACCTGGCTTTCTGCCAGACCCTCTGCTGGACCATTTGTCAGGAAAGATAAGGTTGTTTAACTCACAACCAACACAAAAGTTTGCTGACCACCTCAAAGTTGCCTGTGTTTTTTTTTCCCCCATGCTATTAAATTTGAATGCTCCAATCATACTTTAGATTACCTAACCCACACTGAAATTTTCCCTGAGCACTTATAAAAGAAACCTGTGATTTTCTTTCATTTGGGGTTCTTCACCGTTTTGCTTTGCATAGGCAGGGACCCCAGCGCACCGGATTTCTGCAGGATAAAACGCTCTTTGCTGTTTGCACACTGTTTGAGTCTGGGGTGTTTTCTTGAGCAAACTCTGGACTGTAACAGCTGTTCGTACCACAAGCCTGAAGCTCAAACAATCCTTCCTGGAGCAGTCTTCCACTGATGACTAGTAGGGTTGGTACTTCAGATTCCTTGCCCTGAGGTCATGCTTACTTTCTCTCTCCACAAGAACTACTCATTTAAAAACAAAGCAATTTTGTTTTTGTTTTTGTGATAGCCCTAACTGATGTGCCCTGACTGTGAACCTATATGAGGGCCTGTGAGTTGGGGCTGTACCAATGAGGTGTCAAGACCACCAGTTCTGTCTGACTTCTGCTTGTCTTTGTTTGCTTGATCCCTGTGGTCTTGTCTGAATCAGAGCTCTGAGGGCAGGACTGAGCCCAGTGTGCCTTGGCTGTGGCCCAGTCCACTTTTCCTTTTCAGCAGAAGATGGGACTCTAGGGGTTGGCCTCAAGCCTACTGGATTCCTAAGCGTTTGTTCTACACGACACTAGGGACGCTGGCACGCTCTTTGACCACAGAGGTGCCTGTTGTCAAACAGCCTCTCTCCAGACTAATAGATAACATCAGTCTTAATTTCCCATGACCATAGTCTCACTCTTTGTCAGTTCATCCTGTTGGCCAGGGCTGGATTCCAGAGGCCAACAGCCTTGCCTGGTTTTCTGCCATGTCCTGTCAGGGCTAAATTCTGTCAGCTGGATTAGGATTCTTGTGGGGCCTAACAGGAAAGCTCTCCCTTTGAGGACAGTCCTCACCCCTGCTCTGCCAGGCTTCCTTGTTCTACTTCATTGGTCCTGAAGGAGACCAGGTTGCAGCTTGAGACCAGTAGCCATATCTCCACCCCTGGACCATTTGCCTCTTAATCTTAGAGTCCTCATTGTGATATGAGGAATACTGTGGTTGTCTTAGAAGTTGCAAGGTTTTCGTGGAAGTTATATCAATTTATGGATATTAAGATGGAATTCTGTTGCACTTCCTTCCTGCTCAAGGAGCAATTGTGTAAGCTCTCCTGGTCCTGAAGAAGCATCGGAACCAGTCAGTTGTAATGCTCACCACAGTAGGATCACTGGATAAGGAAATACACAGATCTATAATGATAATGACGATCCCAAACATGGAGAGGATGGAACTGACGACATTCATGCCAACGCTGCCATTCACCTAAAGGACATGGAGGGAGGGGAATGGTGAACAAAGATCAAAGCTCAGGGTTTGGGAAGACTCAGGAATAAAAGAGAACAGGGCAGCAAGGAGAGAGAGGGTCAAACTGGTTGGAGCAGAAGCCTACTAGTTTACCCTGAGGATAGTGAGACAGTGATTGTCGGTACCCTGTTCCTTCAGGGCAGGGACCCCCATTGGAAGAATATTAACACCTGGCTAAGCAGCCAGGGAAGGCAGTGTAAGACTTGGAAGGCAGGGGTGGAGGCAGGGTGGAGGTGCTGGCCTGCTCTGCAGAAGAAAGGATCAGAGTCACCAACCTCTTCCTGAGAAGAGAGCATAAGAAAGACAAGGATTCTGAGGGTAAGCCAAGGGCTGGAGCCTGGCTTGGCAAACTTGGCTGGGGGAAGACTTTCAGATGTGCAGGATCTGCTTCATCATGGTGAGATGTCAACACCCTTCAATTGTTTACCACCTGCCCCACCTGCCTCTGCGCAAGCTGCTTCCTTTAATCGGATTCTGGGGAAGACTCCAAGGTCAACTTGTCATATTTGGCCTGAGTCTGGCACAGTTGCCAGACATAGAAATTGAAGGAGAGATTTCAGTTAGAAGTCAGATATCCAAGCACGGTGGTGGTGGTGCATGCCTTTAATCCCAGCACTTGGGAGGCAGAGGGAAGCAGATCTCTGAGCCAGCATGGTCGACAGAGAAGTTCCAGGACAGCTGTGCAAAGAAAACCTGTCTCAAACCAAACCAAACCAAACCAAACCAAACCAAACCAAACCAAACCAAACCAAACCACCCACCCACCCAACTAACCAAACAAACAAAAAAAACCAGACATTTGAGCAGGATGCTTGGCAAGGACATTGGGCTTCCCTGAGGGTGTAGGCATACATCCCTTAGTTGGGATGTATGAGATGAATTGATATTGGGAGCCAAGTGGGTTCTCCTTTTGTAAGGCAGATTTAGGTAACAGAAATTTGCCTTGCAGACTGAGGATTAGGAATTGGGAAATGCTTTAGTGAATAACCTGCCATTCATTTACCACTTTCTCTAAGAGACAAATGCCATGTAAAGAAAGTAAGGGAAAGAAGGGCCTGGGACCAGCTCTGTGTTTGTGCTGAGGCTCTTTAAGGTTGCAGAACGTGTCAAAAGATGACCAGACTCTTCTCTGGCTTTTGAGATGAGGAATACCACTCCAAAGATAAAGAGGACTGAGGGACCTATTCCTTATGGTTAGGGCTACAATTGCTCCAGGCATGCTTGTTTTGGTCCAGCTAATGAAAAAAGTAGGAAATATCTCAGGGAGATGGCTGAAATACACACTCATCTTCATCTACCCCAGGCCTGGCTTTTTATTTAATGCAGAATACCCTCAGGTTAGTGCACACCAAATTTTCATGACTTTTTCAATTTGCTAAGTCCTTTTTGTTTGTTTGTTTGAGACAGGATTCATTATGTAGCAGAGGCAAATGCAGTAGGCTATTACATAGTTTGGAACCAGAGAATTCTGGACTCAAATCCCAGCTCTGTCACATACTCACTGTGTGATTTGTGACAAAGATTGAGCTTTCTCTTGGGACAAGAGACAAGACAAAGTTTCTTCCATCTTGTCTGAGCTGGAAGCATTTTTAATTTAACCTGAAACTGACCCTCCCCCTTTTCTATCACACCACGAAAAGTCCCTTGGGAAACCCTGTTCTAGAAACTCAAGGTCAAAATGCCTACCTAACTGCATGTCTTTGGCTTTTGTTAAACTGCTTGCTTGCTCTACTTCCCTCTGCAACTGCCAGCCTGGATGTAGTTTTCTGTGTTTGCAGTTAAAAGCTTTCTGTAAGAGGTGCTTTGGCTGATCTTCGAGAAGTGCTGCTTTCCAGGAAGAACTGCTGGCTTAATACAGACGGTCAACTTGGACCTTGGTAGTGCTGAGTGGTCTTTGGGTCTCTACCCCAAAATGCTGTGCCTCAGTTTCTCCTCTACAACACGGGAGAACAAAACATCATGGGGTTGTGTGGATCCGGTGGAGTATAGTGGGTAAATATCCTGAGCCTAGGGCCAGACCACAGGGTTACTGTGAGACCTCCTTGCCCAAGTGTGGGAAGAAGTGCAATTTTAAGACTCATAGGTCATCAGAGAAATGGCATAGCGACTTACCATGCAACTGTTGGCAGATTTTTCAGCACAGACCGAGAGGGATCCAGAGGTGATAAACTACATAGACATAAAAAAAAAAGAGAATGTATCTTTAAATTCCAAATGTCTTGTTTCTCAAAGATCTTGTAAATCGGTGTGCTTCCTCTCGACATTATCATTGCACCAGACTTTAAGTACTAAGTGTTGTGGCACTCAGATGCCCCAGGTCATGTAGGTTGCCCTAAGTGAGTGGTTCTCAATGTTCGTAATGCTGTAACCCTTTAATACAGTTCCTCATTTTGTGGTGACCTCCACCATAAAATTATTACATTGCTACTTTATAACTAATTTTGCTGCTGTTATGAATCATAATGTAAATATCTGGTAAAGACCAAAGTGTGTTATATCTAGACTGGAAAACCTGGCATGTTTTTTGATGGTCTTAGGTGACCCCCTCATTAAATGGTTGTTCAATCTCCCCTCTCCTCCACAAGGGGTCATGTCACCTATGTTGAGAACCACTTCTCTTAGTCATTCATTATCACCACTATCTGATTAGGTGTCCTCAAGTGCATGGCGGGCCACGCTATTGTCCAAACTCATTCACTGCCGACACTGTCTAATACTTGACTATGATCTTACCCTGGGGAGTTAGGGGCAGGGTAGCATGCTTGTCATAGTACTGAGGCTAGGAGAGAGAAAATTGGGACTTCTGTTTCATATCTGCTACTAATTCATCTTGCTGAGCTCCTAGACCAGCCTGATAGCCCTAACAAAATCCTTGTTTTCACACAGTTGATCTCTGAATTACTGTGGAAGCTGTTTCCATCTCATCTGTAGAACGACCATTGTAGTAACAATAGTTCCTACTTACATTACTTTATTTTGGGGATCAAGCCCAGGGCCTTGTATGTGCTGGGTGAATACTTGACCTCTGAACCATATCCCCAGTCCTATATTTCTTTCTTTTAAGGATCACTGAGATAAAATACTTCTAAATGGCAAAGTGTACTGCCTTTGTACAGTCAGAAGGGAGCTTTGAACTGGATGATCTGAAACTTTAAATAATAAGTTCCCCCTAGATCATTTAGTTTTGGAGACTGAAACCTAAAACTTAGCTAAAACCCAGTAGCTCAGGAGCGGACACCAAACCAATGTGATACGACAAGAGAATGAAATAAAACTATATGGTTTAGCGGTGAGTTTTTGGTAGATGATATCAGAGCCTACACAGAAATTCTAGCAGATCCGAAAGTCACCAGAATTAATAAGGAAGCATAGTTATTTCACCAGATAAAAGATCAATGTGCAGAGGTCAGTTGTTTAGCTGGGGTTGTGATGCAGAGGGTGAAGAAACTCTTTATTGGAGTAGTCTGCAAGTTTTGCAAGTAGCCGAGGAGACGTAGTTTTTTTAAGCGTCCTCATTCATGTGGGGGTGAGCGTTCAAGTGACATAGCTGCCTGGCTGTGTCAGAAAAATATCCCAAGATCCCAGCTAGCCTGTCCCTCAATAGCCCATCTCAGTAGGCAGGATCTCAGTCTTCACCCAGTTTCTGCCGTATGAGAAGCCCCCACACAAGCAGCCCCCTGGGCTTTTCCTGTTTTTGGAAGTACCCCTCACTTTTTCTGGCAACCCACGTTTGAAGGCTCTGTTTTCTCTGTGCTTTTTAAAAATCTTTCTATACTAAAACTCCTCTTAAACTCATCCTTTGTTGCCTGTGAATTTCATTCAAAATTTCCAGGTAAGGAGGCACTGACGCGTGGAAGTTTTGAGTGACCCTGAGTGACGTGCATCCTAGCTCTCAAGTTAAACCCCTCGAGAGATTGTGTCTGTCCGTCTGAAAGAACCTTGCTCCTTCTAGTCCCTTGGCTTTCATATCTGCAGAGCTGTGCTTGCAAATGTTTGCCACCTGCTGGTGGTGGGATCTCTACCCGGTAGGTGAAGGCCTTGATCAGGGCTGTTTCCTGCAACGGCCGATTTCCTATCACCAAATGGGTGGACGACTTCCTCAATTAACTCTTGAAAAGTTTGCAGTTGCTTTCATGAGTGGGAGGTAAACACGGTGTACAGCATAAAACTCTGTGGACTCGGATTTCCATATATGAGTGTACTAAAACAATGTACACCGCGGGATTAAAATTGCCCAGGAAGTCCTGTGCTGGAGGGAGAGAAAGGCTGAAGCTTGGTATCGGCCAGAGGAAGAACTTGCCTCCTACGAGATTTCACACAGCTCTGCCAACTTGTCAGCTCACTTCGCAGGACAGACTGGAGCTGAGACAATGATGGGCCAGTGACTGATAGGACCACACCTTGACTGTGACGGCTTAACTATGTGTGCTCCTTACCCACTATTCAATCCTAAACCCCGAAGGTGGATATGGGGGGAGGTGGCTCTGGGTCTCTTTATTTGCTCCTCTTCTCACTCTGGTCACAGTGAATAAATAATTTTTCTTTTCTCTTTTGCTATGACCTGTTTTGTCAGTTGGCCTATTAAGGGTCGGTATTGGAGCCTAAGTTGCTCATGCTGCATAGCCCGGGCTCTGACCCTAAAACCTCTGGTAGTAATATGGTAATGGATGCTTGCAGCTAAAAGCTGCTTATAGTCAGGAGGTGATGCTGTCAGGGCAGGGGTGTCTGAGCACTTCAGCCCTCAGCAGTGTCCTGCAGACTTCTAAGCTGTAAGGGTTATAAGACTAGGAGCGGGGTCCAAGGGTTATTTCACCTCGTTCCCCCCAGTTTTCCTCCGATGACGTAGGAGACCACATGCCCTTGTACTCACAGACAGTCCTCCCCAGATCAGGTACGCTGATAACCCCAGCACTGTAGGAGTCTTGTATAGCTGAGGGTTGACTGCAGAGAATATATGGAACAGGCCAATGAGGATCTGGATGGCCTGTGGGGAGAGCAGAGAGAAAACTGGTGAGAGAGCAGAGCTGGGCTGTGGGCTGCTGAGCTGCACTTTGTCACCCTGGCTGTGCTCTAGAGCCACTTGAGGTGTGAGTGGTATCAGGGTTCACCCAGACCAACATCTAGACTAGACCAGCCTCTGGGCGGGGTCTGTTCCAGGTGTGTTTTAAAGTGCCACAAGTGTTACCAATGTGTCCTCTGAATAACAAAAAGGGTAAGACTATTCAGAGCAGTTTTCTTTTTCAACTTGGATTCCCAAATGTTTTCAAATAGTTGGCCACCAGAATTAACAGATTAATTCATCAGTACTAATTAATAGGATAAAAAGCACAATACAGAATTACAAGGCTTCTGTAACATCACCTCCGTTTACCTGACCACATACAATTATAGTCTTCCTTGGTCCTTGGGATCAGCATTTGGATTCCTGATACAGTTTTACAGACTTTGGTCTAAGAGGTGGCTCTGATAAATTTGGGGTGCAAACAAGGCTCTGTCCCCGCCCAATCTACTTATCTATTTCTGAAGATAGACAAGGAATGAGAGGTTGGGGTATATAGGAGCTCATTTCCTGTTGCTATTATGAAGTACCAAATGCTGGGTAATTTGGAAGAAAAGAAGAGTGTCTATTGAGCTCACAGTTTTGGAACTGTCAGTTTAGGCTGGCTCTGGTGAGGGTTCCCCTGGCTTTGTCACTGTGTGGTAAATAGTATCATGGTGGGAGCACATGCAAGAGGGAAAGATTATATAGTAAGACAGAAAGCCTGAGGGGTTGAGGGAGGCCAGTCTTGCTCTGGTAAGAACTATTAAGAGCTTCCACAAGGACATACCAATTTCTTCTAAGACCAATGACCTAAATATCTCTGTGTAGGCCCTACCTCTTAGAGACTCTCTGGCACCTCCCAACCTTGCCTACTGGAGACAAAGCTTCTGACCTATGAAACCTTATAGGGCATAAGCTAGCCACATCCCCACCACAGTAGGATTTCATTGAGTCTGTCTCATTCCTGGACCTGCCTTTGTCTTCTAGGAGGGTTACAACCTCTCAAAGGAAGCTGGGCCTTTTGCACTCTTTGGGCACCAAAGCTGTATGTATGTATATATACACACACATATCTCTATATACACGTGTGTGTCATATATATATATATGTATATATGTATATATACATACACACACACATATATCGTGGTGATTGCTAGACAGTGCAGTTACAACAGCTGTTAGGAAGTAAATATGCCCCTCCCCAATCCTGCCTGGTCTTTGAGGACTATGTCTCGATCATCTCCTAACTTCTATCTCCTCATTGCCGAGTGTGCTTCATGCTCAGTGAGTGAGTTTGTGGAGATGCAGAACTTGCTATGAATCAATCATCCTTCTAGCCAGTCATCTTACAAGGAGTTGGCTAGCATCTAGTGGAGCATAGGACTGATCTTGTTTCTGCCTCAAAAAATCGAATGCAGTTGAGCTCTTCAAGGAGCTAAATGAAACTAGGGGATTCAGGAGAGAGGCAGGAATACCCTTGGTAGAAGAGGGAGCTAGTAAGATATAGAGGAACTTACTAGTTCATATGATAGAAAGGTAGCAACTGCCTTGGTCAGTAGTCTCTATTGAAACTGCTGCTGGACCTGTCACTGATAGCTAGGACAGCTGGTCAATTTTTAAGCCTCCCCAAAGCCTATGGAGTGAACTGGGAGGCCGAGGAAGGCAGGATGGTCCTGCCATTTGTGGGATTATCCTAGCCCTGGCCTTTAGAAGCTGCAATCCTCCTTTTTCCCATGACCCCATCTAAGGCACCAGAGACAGGCTTACAAAGCTGAAGAGATGACATCATACTCACCCCTAATGTTCTGACCTCTTCATTTATGAATTTCTTGGGATTAAATTCAGGAAAGGTCACAAAGGACAGGTTCCACTGGGGATGGCTTGAGGTCTGTGTCTGCCCGGGGACAGTGTTCAGGGGATTCTCAGGGTTTCCAGGCAGGACCTGGACACTTGTTATTTCTGGTGAGTACTGGGTCCCTCCTGGTGGAGTCTGCACACCAGCCATCCCGGCTGGATACTGGAGCCCAGCGGGCTGAGCCTGCAGGCCCGGCATTCCAGCTGGATTCTGGATCACAATGTGTGGGCTCTGTAGGTTTGCACTTCCTGGGTTGTACCGGAGCACGGTTGCTGAGGTCGGATACGTGGTCTTTTCCAAAGGCTTCTCCTGGCTTCCAGAGACCATGGCAAATGAAGGCTGGGGGACATGAACATTACCTGGGACAGTAACTGATACATTCTCCTGTTTGCTCATGATTCACAGCTGCTGCAAAACACACAAGATACAATTTCCATTGAAAAACCAACGATCCTTCTGGCTCCTTATGTCTATCATTGCCTTCACTGAAATACAAGCCTACCACACAAGAAAAGCGTCTTCGTTTCCTTGAAGTCCCTGTTGTTTTTGGGAATACAATATTCAAATGAACTGGAACTACTTGAAAAACTAGGTCTCTTAAAATTATATAATTTTGTTTTTTATGTTTATGGGTGTTTTGCCTTCATGTATGTCTGTACACTATGTATGTGCCTGGTGTCTAAAGAGGCTACGGGTGTTAGATTCCTGAAATAGGAATTAAGATGGTTGTGAGCTCCCATGTGGGTGCTGGGGATTGAACTACATGAGTACTTGGTTGGCTTCCATCCATCCATTTTTCTTCCTTCTTTCCTTCCTTCCTTCCTCCCTCCCTCCCTCCCTCCCTCCCTTCCTTCCTTCCTTTCCTCCATTTTTCTCTTTCTTTCTTTCTTTCTTTCTTTCTTTCTTTCTTTCTTTCTTTCTTTCTTTCTTTCTTTCTTTCTCTTACTTCTTCTTCCTCTTCTTCTTCCTCCTCCTCTTCTTTTTCTTCTTCTTTTTGAGACAGGGTTTCTTGGTGTGTAGCACTGGCTGTCCTGGACTCTTTGTAAACAATGCTGGCCTCAAACTCACAGAGCTCTTCTTACTTCTGCCTCTTGGATTAAAGGCATGCCCCAGCACACCCAGCTCCCATTCATCTATATTTCAAGTGCTATTTCTAGGGTACTACAGAGTCTGGGGATGGCATAACCCTTAACCACACATGGTTTCCATCTTCAGGGATTGAGGCTGCTGGAAGAGAAGAATGTGACTGTGGTCCCAACTTGACTTCTGATAAGATAGATCTGGAGGAGTTTTAATTTTCTTATGCAGGAAGGAGGCAGGGGAGCAGGCAGGCAGCCTCCTCAGCACATTAAAGACATAGGTAGAAATATTTTCCATTCAGATGAGGGAAAATAAAACCTCACCTGCTAATACTCCCTTCTGTTTAATCTAATTGCACATAAATTGTATACCCCTTACTGACAGGATGTCAGATACTATGACACAAAACAATGTGACCTGGGTTCTAGCATTATGCCCATCAAGACGACAAATGCAAAGTAAAACCATTCCGGCGCTCTCTGATGCCAGCAGGTGCCAGAATGAGAAAAATAGTCTGAAAGGCTGATAGCAACTTGACTCTAGTGTTGGCTGATGGACTGGTGCTGTTCACTACTAATCACCCAGATAAGCCACAGGCAAGGCAGCACCAGGGTCCAGAGGTCAGACAGGTCTGGCTTTGTTCCACAGTTTCTGCCTTTATGACCCACAGGTACAAGAGCGCTAGTCTGTTTCCTGTCTGTGAAAGTGGACAGACAACACCGTCCTTGGAGACTTCACCTCCAGGACAGGAAAGCACTCTTAGCTCACCCTTTGTTGAATTGTGTTAGCCATCTGTAGCAGAAAGGCTATTTATTCTCCGAGCCCTGCCTCCTCAGACTCTAAACTGTTTTAGTTCCAACACTAAAGTCAAGTGGATCTTAAAGTGTGGTCAGCAGTGTGGGTATCAGGTGGTAAAATCTCAGCTCACTCTCCAGACTTAGTTTGCCTTCTAATGTGCCTCCTAGGTGACTCTGATGCTGGCAGAGTCTGAGACACCCAGTAGCGCAGAAAGACTCCCCACCCTGCTTTTACTTGGTGGCTTTGCTTCCTTCTCCCTGAATCCAAACAGATGAAGACACAGCACTTCAGAAAATACCCAGCATTTCCTTTTTTCCAGAGGACGCTGGTTTCTGAGGCTTTTTGTAATTTTTCTCTTCTATAACAAATGGCATGACTAGGGGCGTAGCTTGGTGGGTAAAGTGTTTGCCTCATGCACAAAATCCAGGGTTCTATCCCCAGCACCAAATAAACTGGGAGGGGGAGCACATGCTCAGGGACCCAGCAGTTTGGAGGAGAAATCAGGAGATCCAGAAGTTCAAGGTCATCCTCTGCTACATGGTGATATTGAGGCCAACCTAGGATACAGGAAACCTTGTCATGAAGCTAAACCAAGGAAGACAATAACAGCAGCAAAACTCCTGTCAGGTAGGGGCTGTACAGGCCCACAATACTACCTCCTCAGGAGTCTGAGGCAGGAGGATTGCAAATTCAGTAACTTACTTATATTCCAGAGCAATTCCAAGACAACTTGGGGCACTTAATAAAACTTTGTCTCAAAATTAAAATTAAGTGAAAGTCAAAAGGCCTGGAGCTGCAGCTCGGTGGTAGAGTACTGCTCAGGGCACAGGAGGCCCTGGGTGCAATCCTCAGCACCTAAATAAGCAGTGAACAGGAGAAACAGCTGTCAGTGTATCAAAGCAGATACTGAGACTCATAAACAAACTTTGGGCAGAGTGCAGGGCATCTTAGGAAAGAAGGAGAAGATAGTAAGTCCTGGAGGGGACAGGAGCTCCACAAGGAGAGGAACAGAACCAAAATATCTGGGCCCAGGAGCCTTTTCTGAGACTGATACTCCAACCAAGGACGATGCATAGAGATAACCTAGACCCCTGCACAGATGTAGCCCATGGCAGCTCAGTATCCAAGAGGGTGCCCTAGTAAGGGGAACAGGGACCGTCTCTGACATGAACTCAGTGGTGGGCTCTTTGACTGCCTCCCCCTGATGGGGGAGCAGCCTTCCACAGAGGAGGACAGTGCAGCCAGTTCTGAAGAGACCAGATAAGCTAGGGTCAGATGGAAGGGGAGGAGGACCTCCCCTATTAGTGGACTTGCAGAGGGGGATGGGAGGAGATGAGGGAAGGAGGGACAGAGAGTGGGATTGGGAGGGGAGAAGGGTGGTGGATACAGCTGGGATACAAAGTGAATAAACTGTAATTAATATAAAAATAAAAATTTAATGAGAAAAGAGAAACAGCTGTCAACATTGGTCCAACACCTGTCATCAGTGTGACACTGGCAGCCAAGGAACCCCATAATGCCTCATTATTTCCACACTTCCCCATGTCTTTACTAAGCCTCTCGGGGACCAAGGCTCTGAGGGGAGATGGCTAGTTGCACAGCTCACAGGCGTGGACTTAGAAAGCAAGCTTCTTAACGTGTCACTGTGTTTTAACTTCTATAGAGGAATGCTGTGCCTGCGCTGTAGGAGTTGCAGCAACTACAGCAACCATGTTTGTTTACGCCCCACAGACCTACGGACATGAAGCAATTCCTCCAGCCATGCACTATAACGACCGAGGGTCAGAGAGGATAGCTAATTTGAGTAGAGTCACACAGGAAATGCTGAAGCTGAGCCGAGGTTTATTTTTGAGACAGGGTCTCACATAGCCCAGGCTATCCTTGAACTTGTTATATAGCTAAGGATTCTCCTTCCTCCACCTCCCGAGTGTTGGGATCACGGTCATGTACCACCGTGCCTAGTTTATGTGGAGCTGAGCATGTGCGTGTGTCAAACCCAGGGCTCTTTGCATTCTAGGCAGATGTTTAACTAATGGAACTGTAGCGGAAACTAAGATCCAAATGGTTTGGATGAAACGTTTGTCTGTCTCTCACTTTCAAAGGAAATGCTACGCTGAATGCTATTCCCTCCCTTTTATGCCTTTGGAAAATGGGTTAGTTCTGTCTTTCCCGCTTTTCTCAGACAAGGTTCCTTGTTGTTTGAGAGCAACACCATCACAGACATGGTGATTGACACAGGCAGCTGAGCCGTGGGCTGGGCTCCAGAGGACCTGACAGGAACAAAGGAGGTTGTTCTTGCCCACCGATTCTTGGCGGAGGTCCAAAACAAAACAGGCCACAATGCATTTACCAGATGGACTCAGGGAGTGGACACCTGGGTGTCCAGCTTTCTATCCTGGGGCGGCTTTGCTTAGGCAGAGGGAGAAATAGTTCCAAGAGTCTGTCCTGACTCTTGCCACCAATAAAGAAAGCGTTCAAACTCAACATTTACTAATTATTAAAACTATACTAATTTAATAATTATTTAATAATTTACTAATTAGTAAAACTATTGCCTGCCAGGTGGCTGAGCAATAGTCTCCAAGGATGGGGTGTTGTGAGCTCCCACCATGCTTCAGTGCACTGTCCATAGGGGACCCCTGACTCCTGCAGCTCCCAGAGGACCTTCCCAGGACTTGTCCATGTCTTGGGGCCCTCTTGATAGGGTCCAAGTTCAGTTAAGACTCTGTACAGGAATCCCCAGAAGTCTTACCTTGAGTCCTGGCAAGCCTGTCTCCTTCTTTAAGCTCTCACAGTTTCTGAAACTGCTTTAGAAAGTTCTCACAAGGGAAGAAATACTCGGTTTCTCTTTCAAGTTCCAAAGTCCTCCTTGAAGTTTCACTTGAATGCTCACAATTTTCACTCCGAGAATGGCCTTGTCTAGAACAAGATTCGGAGGGAGCATTTCTTCCAGTGTCTGCCTTTGAGAAAGCATCACCTGCAGAATGTCAGAATGTGGTTGCATTTGGAGACCTTATAAAAAGGAATTAAATTAAAATGAAGTTATCAGGATTGGGCCTAAACCAGCATGAATGGCGCTCCTATTGAATAAACGAACAAACAGATCTATGTTATGCCAGCAGCTGTGAGTTCAAGGCATGGTGTGTGTGTGTAGGCATGTTCACCAGACCAGAACGGATATAAACATTCTAACAAAGAATATACACTATGGACAGAAACATGGAGGGAAAGGTAGAGGATGAGGGGAAGGAGAGAAAGACGGGGTGGAGAGGAAGAGAGAGAAGGAGAGGGGAAAGAGGCGAGAGAAAATATGTTGTACCCCTGACAGGGATGGCCCCTTTTTCATAGCAATTTAGAGGAGTTATCTGGCCTTGCCTTGGGTGGTCTGTGTGAGTTAGACTAAAAGATATTATAGGTTGTAGCTCACTAGATTTAATAACACCACTCATCTTTCCCAAGACCAGCCATTGGGGGTGAGGAACCAGGGATCTTTAGGAGTTCGGCTGTAATTAATTATATAAGACATTCTAAGCCCGGGCAGGCTTCAGGCAGTTAGGGTCTGATTGTTAGAGTAGGGGAGTTTGGTTTTTGATCTTTTAGGTTTTTTTTTTTCTTTCTATTTAAGATTTTATTTACTTATTTTGAATGCTCTATCTGCGTGTACACCTGCATGCCAGAAGAGGGCAGTAGAGGGTAAGGAGCCATCCCGTGGTTGCTGGGACTTAAACTCGGGACCTCTAGGAAGAGCAGACAGAGCCCTTAACCACTGAGCCGTCTCTCCAGCCCCTATTTTTTTTTTTTTCCTTTTTAATTGAACAATATTTCCCCAGACAATATATTTTGATCATGTTTTATGTCCCACAATCCCCCCAAACCTCCCTACCTCCCTACTCATTCAACTTTATATTCTTTTTCTTTAAAAAAACAAATGAAAACAAACACACCCACACCATAAAGAAAAGAAAAACATGCAAGAAAAAGACCAATAAGACAACAAATGCCCCAACAAAGCAAAATGAGACAAAAAGTTTTCAAAAATACAGTTGAGCTCATTTTGTGGCATGGGGCCTGCCCTGAAGCGTGGTTAACACGCCCAGTGAGACTCCCCTGGAGAAAACGCATTTTTTTCCTTTGCCAGTGGGTATCAGTTACAGATAGAGTCTTGGTTGGAGTGGGCACCTGTGTCCACTTACCACCTCTCAGGGCTTGAGCCCCAACTGAGCTGAATCTATGGCAAGGTCCAAAAGGAAACCAGGACAGCTACACTAACCCTCTCGAGCCCTGGGCTTTGTTTCCCTTCCCCCTGCCTTTGATTCCTATAACAACCCGCCATTTTAGCTGTGTGCTCGCTTGGTCCTGTCTCTTCTCCTCTCCCGTTCTTCCCACCTGTCCCTCCTCTCATGGCCCTGTTCAGTCTGCTTGCCATATTCTGTTTCCTACTTTCTGTCTTTGCTCTGGATTCTTCCTCTGGCTTTTCTCTCCCTCATATCTACAATCAAACCTTCTCGCTAACCAAACACTCAAGGAGCACTCATGTCCTTATTTCAGTCACCTGTGTAAACCTTGATGGTTTTTATTTTATTTTATTTTATTTTATTTTATTTTATTTTATTTTATT